AACTTGGCTCACATTCCACTTCTCTGGGGCTCTGTCCCCAGGAGGGCCCAAGGCTTGGCTTGATCTGGGGCCTGGTGACTAGAAGACACATGCCCACCCCCAGGGCTGGATGCAGGTACAGAATGGGGAATCTCCCACAAAAAAACGGCATCGTGGAGGGGATAGCAGAGCCACAGCTGTTTCTTCAGGCCCCTGGGTAAGAGGGCTGTGGTGGCATATAAGGGGGAGGAGCTGAAAACCAAGGAGACAGGATGAGGGTCAGTGGGGCAGAGGAGTACCCTCCCCCCCCCTTCATGGTGTGCAGGTTCCATGGGAAGAGATGCCTAGAAGTTTCCAAGGAGAAACGGAAGGAGCCTGGGAAGGGAATCCACCTGGGAGGGAGGTGCGAGGGGGGTCCTGGAGCAAGGGTGAGTGGGGATGAGTGGAGCAAGGATTCCAGGTTGTGAACTTACCTGCAGGGTTGTAGATTGGGGGCCCAGCCGGGTAGAGAGGATACTGAGGAGCAGGACCACTAGGTGGGTACATGAAACCAGGCTGTGGAGGTGCTGGACCAGCTTTGGGGTCTGGGGCGTATTGGTATACTGGCTGCATTGGGATGCCTGTCATTGGAATCTCCTGGCCTACAAGAGAGACAAGGACCAGCATTTTAAACACCCAGCTCCCATGGAAACCTCCTCCTGTCCAGGAAACCAAGGTAAGCACCCTGGCAACTGCCTGGCAGGCTCCTGGGTAGCCACTGTGGCCTTTGCCTCCCAAAGCTTGCTTGCCCAGAGTTGAGCAGAGAGCTGTGTATGAGGCTATGCAGGTCAGTCTGTGTTGACCAAGTTTGTTCCCCTCAGCAGGTTTCAGAGCCCTCAGAAGGCAGAGTCTAGCCTGGGGAATGTCCTGCTCGGGTAAAAACTGGGAAGCTCCAGAGGCTGGTATCTTGTAATACAGCACAGCTGCCACTAAGAGGGTCCTCCTCCAGTCCTCCCCTCCCACACTGATCTCCCATATGGTGTCATCGTTTCCATGTTTATCAGGCTTGGGCAGTTACATGCAACACTCAAATACACATCCAAAGTACTGGAGCACACCCAATTAATGTTCTCTATTACAGACCCCACCCCATATACTCAGCCACAGACATGCTTATACCTGCTGCTCACTTACCATAAACAGATGCACTCCTGTGTATGCCTGAATGGCCATGCGCACACACATACAAGGGCACAATCACATGTTCCCAAACATCCCTGGACACAATCTAATACTCCAGGGCTCACTTGCACACATCTTTGGGTGTCATGGGCAGGTACACAGAAACACTCACTGCTAGACAATTCACCAATCCTCCTTCCCTCTGGTGCCCATTACAGGAATCAGCCTAGCCCATCCTCAGGTGCATCTTGACTGATACTGTGCATACCTTCAAATGGGCTCTGGAGCTGCTGGCGCCTTCGGTATAGGTAGCAACAGGAACAGAGGAAGCAGCAGATGGTGGTGGCAACCACAGCAACAAAGAGGATTACAGCAGAGGCGATGCCTGCTATGGTCTTGGGACTTTAGACAAAAAACAGGTCCTCTCACCTTCCAACACTTGTAGGGGAAGTCCTCACTGTGCTGGTGCCAACTCCTGGCCAGCAGGGAGCCACAGCCTGATAAGACTTAGGGTTCCTTGTGAGATTAATTCAGCCCACCCTATTTAGTAAGGTTTAAGAGACCTCTACTTCCCAGGAGGCTATGCTCTCTGGCTAGCTAGTGTGAAGCATGCTGGGATTTGTAGTTAGTGTGCCCACCTACCCCTGCTTTTACATCTACACTTTAATTGGTTAGGTTTAAAATGTGTTAGCTTCAAAGGAGCCTTTGAAATAATGTAGGACCATTATTATCAAATCTCACTTGACATTTCCCCTTATATCTGTCTTATATGTTTTCAGCTCCCTTTTAAAAAAGCTTTGAAACCACTAATTTGGGGGCTAGGAGAGTAGCTGAACAGAAGTAATGTTGGCATGCATGAGGACCTAAATCCAAATTCGGCACCCGGCTGGGTGGGGGCAGGGAAGTAACAAAACCTTAGTTTGGGCAACTTTGGTTTTGTTTATTTGTTTTTTGAAACAGTTTCACTTTGTAGCCCAGATTGGTCTGGAACTCATGGTGATACTCCTGCCTCAGCCTCCTGAGTGCTGGGATTACAGGTGTGAGCCACCAGGCCTATCTAGCAATTTCCATATTCTTTAAAAAGGTAACAGTAACATAGAGGACAAGTGTCTCAGCAAAATCACACTGCTAGTAAGAAGGTAGCCTGGGAACCAAACCCAAGTCCTCTTCCTGCCCTCTTGCCAGAGCTTCTCTGCAGTTTGAGTGTTAACCCAGTACGTTCCCTCCCAGGACCTGCAAGGATCCAGAAAGCCTGTGAAAACAGCCTAGGCAAGCCCATGGTAACTAACACCAACCAGCCAGCTCTGTCACCATTTGGAGTCCTGGTGACTCCTTCAGCTAAGAATGTGGAGGTGGGCACTGGAGGCAGCGGGAGGCCTCTTGAGAGGGGGTGGACTGGGAGTCCACAGCCCACCTGAAGGCCAGGCAGTGTTTCTGCTGTCTCTCGGTGATGAGTAAGGTCAGGTCCCTGCAGCAGTACCGCTGGTAGCAGGTCCCGCAGCAGAAGGTGAAGAACTCGCAGTCAAATCCTGGATGCCAGGAGCCATTCCGGTCCAGATACCACAAGCAGTCTTCATTCGCTAGCGCTGCGGGCAGGGGTTTGGGTGTCCGGTGGACACCAATCCAATTCAGTTCTGTCCACCCTCAACCCCAGTGTCTTGGGAATTTGAAACGCTCACTTTTGTTTCCACTCTGAGGGGCTCGGCCTCGAAGCGCTAAAAATCCCCCTCTCCCTGAAGCTGAACCCAGCGCGTGGGGTCAGGTTCCCACTGTCTGACCTCCCAGCGCCCTTTCTACCAGCTCCAGGAGCACCCGCGCATGGACAGCCGGAGGATAGCCCCAGGGTAGTCTCCAGAGACGCCACCGGGTCCCTTTAACCCCTCCCCGATCCCACCCCACCCCACCCATTCCTTGTGGCTCCCCA